TGTTTATATTATGCTAACATAGCTGTGTCGCTAGCGATCATGTAGCATATCATTATATACCAGCTAGTCTGACCCTAAAAAAGTCACTGCTGTTTCTGTCTTCATTTCTGTTGGAAGTGATAGCAGAGCTGTACCATTTTAAGTTTTTTCTGAAATCTCTCAGTCAGAACATGCTATATCATGTTTAGGTGGAAACTAGCGAGCTAACTTCTAACTCTGTTAAATTTAATACATTCTGTTTTCATGGATGCCTGGATGTTAAAATTAATTGTTACACCTGTTAACGCAACAACACTGATCATTTTATTAAAGATGAAAGAGTTTAGACAGTGTTCATTTGATTTTGGGACCTGAAGCGGACAGAGCTTTAGACCCAGATTACTGCGCGAGGCTCCTGACTACGGTAGCTGTAATGCTCAGACAATCCATCGAGCGGTGCAGCTTCATAGCTTACCAAAGTCGTACTGAAACATTCTTTGACAGACTTTTGAGCGCCATGTACCACATAAGGACTTTCTTTTGCTGCTCTCTCACTGACAGAAGAGATGGTCACATTCAATAAATGTAACTTTCACATGACCTTCAGACAATGTTTCCTGAAGTTTACATTTGTAGAACCATTAGGGAACGTTTAGCCATTTTTCTTTTGTTAGCTTCTTTAACATGACCGTGTTTAAGAGTGTGGTCAGGTTTGCTGCACAAAAATGGTCACCTTGCAGTTTAGTTTGGTGGACTTTGGGTCTTTGCTCGCAGTGAGGAGCTTCAATGTCAATATATTAGTGTGTGGCTGTGAGTATGCACAACTGATGCCTGAGCTGCTGTGCATTGTGTTGTGCATGCATGAAACAGACGGGCTCACGATCAGTCAAATGATAGACTCTCTGGTCTGATCACCATTTATCATCACATAACTGACTTTTTCTTGTATTTATTTGTTCCTCAAGACCTCCCACAACAACATGACTGTGAGGAAGAGGAGGGTCTGGATAAGCAGCAGGTCTGTAACCAGGAGAGGAACTCCAGCCCAGACCAGGAGGAGCCAGAGCCTCCACAGGTTAAAGATGAACAGGAGGAGCTTTGCAGCAGTCAGGAGATAGAAGCTTGGAATGAAGCAGGAGACTGATATTTTCATGGACACTCCGACTTATGAGGAAAGTTCCCACAGTGAACAAAAACTAAACAGTAAGCAGCTGCTTTCTCACAGCTCTCCTGAAGCAGAGAGCCGAGATCATGAAGAAAGCCATCACGTGGACTCAGGATCTACTAGAAATACAAAGCTAAAGAAGAGGAGACATCACAATGAGGGAGTGGACAACACCCCTGTGTCAGAAAGTAAAACTGACACAAGGAAACAGTCTGTACAGTGTGACACCTGTGGAAAAACGTTTAACTTTAAATCAAACCTTACTACACATCTGAGAGTTCACACAGGTGAAAAACCATATCCTTGTAGCACCTGTGGGAAACAGTTCAATCAGAAATCATCATTGAATACTCATGTAAGAATTCACACAGGTGAGAAGCCGTATCCGTGTAACACCTGTGGGAAAATATTCAATCAGCTGGCACACTTGAAAACTCAAACAAGAATTCACACAGGAGAGAAGCCACATTGTTGGGAAAAGATTCAATGAGAAATCAACATTAAAAACTCACGAGTGCACACTGGTGAAAGGCCATATCCTTGCAGCACTTGTGGTAAAAGATTCAGTCAGAGGATGAACTTAAAGAAACACATGAAAATTCACACTGGTTAAATGTTTAATACTTTGAAAATGTGATACACCCCTGAGTCATAGCAATGTGTTGGTGGTAGAACTCACCCTGACC